AATAGCTTCTTGTTCCTAGTGGTACGGCTAGGAGCCCCCAATAGCATTCTTGCTCCTAGTAGCGATGCCAGGAGTCCCTAATAGCGTCCTTGTTCCTAATAGCTTGTTCCTAGTGGTAAGGCCAGGAGCCCCTAGTAGCGTCCTCCTAGTAGCGATGCCAGGAGCCCTTAGTAGCGAACATTGTTCCTAACTCAATTGGTTTGTTCCAGAGTCCAGAGATTCCACCTTTCTAAAGTATGATCTTGTTGTTACAGATGTCAGGTGAAAGCTCCTTCAAGAAAGGTAATGATAATGCCAAAATGGGCCTTCTTGTGTTTCTTGATCAGAATTAAGTAGTGCCTGAGACTGGCTCCATCACAAACACACAGCCTCCTGTTCCAATCCTTCAACATGTTGCCAAATGCAGCAATTAAGACTAGGCATAGCGCCCACAAGTAAAGCGGATGAAGCCCACCAGGCCCGATGCTTTGATTGCGACCTGGCAATCTCAAGACTTTAGCAAAACCTCTGATAAAAGAATTCCAGAAAACCGCACAAAGTTATCGGCGTTCTTGTGAAAAGAACATGTAGGATCTAGAATGATCTTTCATTGTCCTTAGTTGAAAGAGATTTTCCTTTATAAAATCTTCTCGAGCCTTGTTACAAGTTCCTTCTTCATCAAAGTACAATCTCTTTTCAAGATAGACTATCTACTTAACCAAGAGGAAGAAAACATTAAAAAAATATTAGAGATGTGCGTGTGTGTGTCCGCTTTTCTATTTTTGAGTACAGTACACGAGTCTTGTCCTTTGTATGAGGTCTGTTTTTCTAAACATACCCTTCACAACTTCACAACCATGTCCCTCTTTACAACAAGTCTCGCATAATTCATGCAAGTATCCTCCGTGCGACCTTGTACTAAAATGTTTGCATGGGCACAAAAATGTTGAGAAAGTCAAGTGGAGCATGCGCGGTTGTTCTGCAACCTAGGCTTCCCATCACTACATGCTCAAATTCAGTAAGTCTCTCGACTTGTTCGAATCAGTATATACGCTTAACTTGGACCCTAGTTTCAGCATATGCAGCGATTATCCACCCAACGCTTGCAATCACTGTTTTGCTTTGCGAGGCCAGTCCAATGACTTCAGAAGTTTGGAGAGTTTGAGAAATCCAATCATATGCAGTGATTATGCAGCTACCCTAAGTAGATTTGAACAAATCCAGCGTTTC